TCAACCTAACCACTGAACCATCACATTCTCAAATAATTCATCCCCTCACAGCTATCTCCCTCATGTATCATTTTCCCCTCCTCTTTTAGATTGTAAGCCCTCAGGGGCAGGGCCCTCCTTACCATCTTGTCTTGAATTGTATTGTAATTGTAATGTCTTCCTTACATTGTAAAGCGCTGCGCAAACTGTTGGCGCTATATAAATACTATGTAATAATAATAATTGTGCATACTTTTGCAGCCGCTGCGCGGTACGAAACTACGTGGCCCGCAAAATAGTCCAAGCACGATTTTTGTGGGATGGATGCCGCATGTTCGTGGCTATAGTAAAAGCCGCAAATGAGCAGAATCCGTGCAGATGACAGACTTTAGCGTTTGCGTGTCATGTGGTCTTCCGCGCTCTGTATATGAATGGAGCTAAAATATGCCAGTGCTGGAAGCTTTGACACGTAATGCCATAGTCCATGTTGGGAGCAATCAGGGGAGGCTGGCTACCTTCCCGCATATATTGGTAATATGTAGATTTTTTTTTTACTTGGCCACAGGTAAATGTTAAATATTTGAAATAGTCTATAACGTCTCATTTGTTGATTATAATTTACACAAAATATAATGTCGGTCAGCCTGAATTCACCTTAGTTATGAATTGTTATTGCAGATTTTCCAAAATCTTTGTGACCAGCTAATTGTTTCCTCATAAAAAAGAAGGTGATCCTTTCAACGTGTCCTTATTTCAAACTTGAAACTCAACTAGATATAAAATACACAAATTACTGTAGCTCTATTATAATTGATGCATCATTATAGTAGAGCTATAAAAAGGAAAATAAAAGTGACTTTGAAGCCATGATTAAGACTGGAGTCCCCCAGGGTCCAAAAAACCCCCCTGCATCCTTCCTTAACTTTACATTACTTAAAAAAAAAAAATCTCATAGTCTACATTCAACTGTAGTAAATAACCAACAAAAATATAATAAAAACCCTCAAGGTATGGCTGTAAAAAAAAAAAAAGAAAATAAATCTTTGAGGCATGCTCCAATACCGTTCCTACAGTTTGTGAAAGCCAGTTATTCCCAGATTTAGCTGGATTCAAAGTGCTGCAGGTAATCCATATCGTTCAACTATTTAAATCTAGTAAACTGTTTGCGGTGGACCACTAAAATAGCCCAGGTTGTGTCATTTATACTAATGCGACGTGTGTCAGAAATGAGAAAGTCCCTATTTGTGACATGACACATGAACGTTGCAATTTGTGCACCATATAATTGAAAAGATTACATTTATTTTATGTGCATAGATTTAACACATTAGTTCACCAAGCAGTTGGTGGCACAGGATAACGTGAAGTATATGTATATTGTTGTGGAAAGTACCCTCCTTTTGGACTGACATTTTTCAATACTCATCTTTGACCACTCATAGAGTGACTACTCCAGATCCTTCATTAGCGCCTCTCGAAAACATGTGGAAAGGTAGTTAGGGAGTGTGAAATGTGTAAGAGACCTAGATACCACCAATATAAGAGTTGGCTTTCCATGCCTGACTCTTGATGCAGTGTAACGTACCTTAGGGGAGTCTGAAGTGATGAGGGCGGCCTCTCTCACAACTCTGGTCCCGGAGCACCTGGATTGAGTACAGGGGCACAGAAGGGCAAGGGTGCCAATGGATGATGAATACGCTGAGCAGTGGATGCTGCAATGTGCATAGATCCAGACAGGGAATGGGTGCAGAAGAACACATGACAGGGTGGATCATCAAAGGGCCCAGGTCAGATGAGCTGGAGAGACAACAAGACAGCAAGGCACCAGGACAAGAAGCAGGGGGAATTTTCTGAAACAGGCTGAGGTCATCAACATGTGGGCAACGCAGTACCAGGAATGAGGCAGAATCGATCATCAGGAGGAAGCCGAGGTTCAGGACAAAGGAGAAAAGCACAAAGTCAAGCCAAGCCAGTAACGGATAATCAGATCAGTATACAAGGAATGCAGGAATACAGGGAAGCTGACAAATCTGACAGCAAAGGAGGCTTGGAGGTCACAGCCCCGACAATGTGCACGCATATGCTCACGAACGCGCGCACTTCCACACAGAGATGCTGCACCTGGTCCAGCTCTACGAGCTACACCAGGCGCATGCGCAAACCGCTGAACATGAACTTTAGCTCTGGATTCCTGACATGCAGTTTGTTTAAAAGCAGAGAGTAAATGTATGAAATAATTTCCGGGCCCTCAGGGTTGATGAACCAAACTACGTTCAAAGTAAGTCAGGGAGCCCAGCTCCACTGTTGGAGGAACTTTGGACTGGAGAAAATGTTTTATCTGCAGGTATTGGAAAACATCCTTAGGCCTAAGATACATTTGTAGGGTCTTAAAAGGAATTATGACCACAGGACCTATCTCAGAGATGCAAGGGATGTTTAGTAACTGGGGGTAGGTGAAGGAAGCACAGTGTTTCTGAGAAATCCATAGAAGGTTATTAATAAGAATTGGGGAGCACATGTATGCCTCAATACAAACCCAAAGGGGTGGTTTCTGGACCTGCAAGCATAGTGAAATTTGGGTGAGCTGTGCAGCATGAAAATATTTCTGAAACAGTGGAAGGCCTAGGTAGAGAACTTGTTTAGGTTTCTACTAGCTTTACCCCCCCC